GAGATCAAGGAGTACCAGGATGGAGGCATGACCTCCATCCCCGGCTCTCCAGAGATCATCGATCAATGCGACCAAAGCGGTTTCCGTGCTGTAGCCAGGCCTGAAACCCGACTGCTTAGGAAAAAAATGGATGGAATTTTGGATACTCATATGGTGAAAGTGACAAGATTTTGTAATTGTATTGATGAAACATCGCTAAGAAGTCCAGATTTATATGCCATCAGATACATCAGTACCTGGTAGTTGCAAAAAGTGAAAGGCAGAAGAAAGGATAGTCAAGGTGAAAAAACAATAAGTTCAGCCTTGTCCATATTTAATTTAGGTTGGGGAGAATACATCCAGCTGGACATTTCAGGCACTTGGAGAGGCAAGACCACAATAGATTCTCCACACCAAGACTGGGGTTGAGGAATACATCTGACTGTCATCAGCAGAGATAGGATAAACTTTAAAGAAGAAATGAAAACAAAGTATCAGAAATGAACAAAATTGGGCCTAGGACCACACTCTGAGAGACACTCGCTGATAAAGGAAAGGATTGAAAACTCAAGACAGAAATAACAGAAAAAATGTGATGGGAAATATAAGACTGTAAGTGCCCAATTCAGTTTCAGTGAAGTCAGAGTAGATATTAAACTTTTGTGATGAAAGGTGTCAAATGCCACAGATAAAACTGCCAGGACAAATACTATTGTTGTGCGTTTTGCCTTTGCTACCAACAATAACAGACAGCCCATGTCAATGCCAACTTGATGGACTGATCTGCTTAAATCTGTGATTGAAATGGTTCAATGAAATTATTTTTTGACTGAGAGGACAGAAGGACAGAAAGAATAGCTTGTTTAATAACGTAACAGACACAATATAACAGAAGATAGTTTTGATTTGAATCCATATAGAATTAGAGCTAGGGTTAAGTTAATCATTCACTCTAGGCTTGACTAGCAGCTTTTTCTTCTTCTTTTTGATGGGATTAGATTAGACATGTCATATCTAGCAGGGGTCATGACCTGATGACACCAGAATCACATGAATGTTGTTTACTTCAGTGACATCACTGGTTAAACACAGGCCTTTTGAAATTGGTGTACACTATAACCACTAACAGGATATGAAAGATATAAACTGTTTGGGCATCCTGGAACCATTTTGGCTACATCTTGAGTACCTACAGAAAAATAGGACCTGCTTACTACTTGAATGGGGAATCAACCACTAGGGGATTTTAAAACTATGTTATGGATCTGCCCCTGGATCCCTCTCCAGACGCGAGTTCAGAAGAAGAGGGTGAGTTTGAGTCGGCAGAGGAAAGCACAGAATCGAGTGTTGGTCAGGATCGGGGCTCAGGGAGCGTTAACCTGATGGAGCAGCCTCAGCTGGGTCAATTGGATGAGCCACAGGCTCAGTCTGAGTGAGGTGAGCCACAGTTTTACAGCAAGATGGCCAGGAGACTCCAGGCAAAGACTGGGAGCAGCAGCCACCAGTTAGCAATGAGGAGGAAGTGGAGTCCATACCTCCTGATCCAAGGATATGTAAAGCAGAGAGGAGATAGGCAAAACACTGGTCAGCTAGACTACTCATGAGGACACGATCTTACCTCTCATGAAGGGCTACGCTGGTGTTGCCTATTTAATCCCACCCTGAGGACTTGAGTGTTCCTGCAGCAATGTGCCTATTTCTGTGCCTTGTATGCTCATGACGTATATCTTAACCCGTTCGACTCGTGGACTACTTTCCTGGACTTCGTGTGTTCCCATTCGACTTGGTTACCCAGTGATTCTTGCCATGCTGAACTCAAAATCTGGAACTGTGCAACGGGGGTGCTTTCCAAGAATCTGTTGCGGGGGGAGTGGGAGTTGAATAAACAACTGTAGATTCTTGCTATATGTGGGGGTTGGGGAGCGGGGCAGCACAAAGCTAGGAAGTTGAAGGTGGAAATGTCAATCCCACTTCGATAGTGTTGCCCAAAAGCAACAGGGATGTGTCCCTTACATCATCTAGAAGATGTTAATATCTCTTCTATGTGGTAGAATATTGGCAATATCTAAGCCTACAGATTGTTTGTAAAAATAGTGGTGATGATAAAACTTATAGGAGTTTTTGGTTGGTAATAATGTCATTTCACTTTGCTTTGTGTTCTCTAAAGGCATTGTACAAATCACTGGAGAAACTGGAAAATGAAAAAGTTGACAAAGATTCCCTAGAGACGGAAATCCATGTGGTAAGCAGTTTGACTTACTGACGTACAATGGATATAGAATACTTGAGGAACTTTTGAGAAAGTTTTATTTACAAATGGAGCTTGTGGAGCAGTCACGAATAGCAAGCTTATACTCTGTTTTGAATGGTGATCCTAATACAGGTAATCCTTGAGTTACGATGGCAACTGGGACTGGTATTTCCATTCCTAAGTGATGCGGATGTACAGTGCAATGTTATGTGAATGCATCACTTAGTGATGGTAATCCCAGCAGTCCCAGTTGCCACTGTTAAGCAATGATTGTAAATTGTTAAGGAAGCATCTCCTGACAACTTTCTGCTGGCTTCCAACAACCGAAGTCATTGGGGAAGCCAGCGGGAATTTGCAAATTTTAGGGGCTTGCAAGCAAGCTGGCAGGCAAGTAAATGGTTGCTACTGGGTTGGTTGGAAAAAAAGAAAGGATTGGGCAGTGTATGAATGGCTGGGGAGGTATGCAGGTGCAGTAAGGATCAGGAAAAGTATCCAAGTGGAGAAGATTTGCCCAAGCAACTTGTGACCTTTTCTATTGGCTTCCGCCATTGCCTTTGCTCCTGGGAAGCTGGCACGAAAGGTCACAAATCATGTGGGAACTATCATAACTGTGAGCTGGTTGCCAAATACCCAGATTGTGATCACCTGTCCATGGGTTTGCTGGGAGACCCTAGCTGTAACCACCTCTCATACAGCGCCATTGTCACTTTGAATGGTTATTGAATGAGGGGTTATTAACTGAAGATTACTTGTATTTACCATCCTTTGAGATTGGGTTAGGTAGCAGTAGTTCTATTTTGGACTTCATGTAATTTGTGGCTCTGGAAGGTAGAAGAGGGAGAGATCCTCAGATGTCAATGAGACCAAAGATCTATTGCTATCCTTTCTCTTCATTTTTTAGAAAGCAGATAAGACTGCCCTTGCAGCAAAGGTCAGTCGTACCCAGTTTGATGCCACCACAGAACAGCTACATAAGATGATGCAGGAACTGCTTAATAAGATGGTTGGGCAAGAACAAGACTGGCAGAAAATGCTGGACAAACTCTTGATTGAAATGGACTCCAAGGTAAGCAAGATGTAACCTTTTTAGCTATTTGCAATCCTGTCAGCAGGAGAAGTACTTGTGCCAGTGGTCCATATTGTGATGTGCAATAAGCACCTTAGAGACATGTTGGTCCTTTTCTCCTTGACCAGGAACATGTATAGCTGGTAGAATATGTTGCATGTGTTTTCCCCTATAACTAGCACATAATGTGAAGCACATTATGTCTGCATTCTGATTTCTAGCTTGCTTTTGGACACAGTGAAAATTCTGGTTTTGATCTAAAGAACACTAACCCACACATCTCTTCCCCAAAATGGCATTTCCCAGATGCATTGGGAATTAACATCTCTGGCTGGGAATTTGAGGATTTGGCTTCACTACCATTAGAGAGTAGGAAGCTGAAAGAGGTTGTAAACAAACTGAGATTAAAATTATGAGCCCTCTATTTTCCTCCAATTATTCAGCTACTCCTGCCATATGAGCTATGACAAGAAAAGGGGGAAATAGATCCTTTTCTGTAGTGGCAAAGAAGCCTCTGCAGGGAGATTTCCTCAGTGTCTATGTTTTTATTGTGTAGGCAACAAATCAAGAATATTAGTTTCCTGTCTTTTGCTTCATTTACATTGTTATTTTTTATTCTTTCTTTGGCTCCAATTGCTTATCCTTTTTCTACAAAAATAATAAGAAAGTGTTAATTTTATTACTATTTATGAGGCTTCATTGAAAATTTTTCTATCATAAACAACTTATAGCATGGATAATAGAAAGGCAGGAGCACTAAAATAAAAAGAGTAGCTTTATAGGAACAATTCCACTACTGTTTTCCATACCTCTTTGCATGGAATGTTTCTGGAACTAATTCTATCAGCCGTTCTCTCTGCTTCCTTGTAGGAGAAGGCTTTCGTGCAGAAAATATGATCCCAGTGTAAATAAGTAATATAAAGAAATGCAAAGCACAGGAGCAAAAATTTAATAAAATCACAATCTAGAAAAAAAGTAAAAGAATTAAGAACCCGTTGTGGTATGAACACTAAGGAAAAACTATATAGAAACAAATCAAGCACGTATTTATTATTCATATATTAATTAATTAAACTTATTGTACTGCCAACTACCAAAGTCCCTTGGTAGCTTATAGTAAGACGTAACATTGGAATTAAAATTCAAGACAGTAGGAAAAGCTAGCAATAAAAATTAAAAGCAATTTACAAGGTGTATTTAGGCATTTTTGAAAGGAAGCAAAGCTGTTAGGTCCCATAACCCAGTAGGAAATGTGTTCCAGAGAATTGAGAGGCTAGAGAGAAGACTTGACCTAAGCAATTGTAAATGAACTTTCAAAATAATCTCTAGGAGTGGATGGGGCTGGGAAATCTTGTAAGAGGTGTTTCCTCAGAGAGGCTGGAACTGAATCATATACCAGTTTAAAGATAATAAGATAATAATACCCCTTCACGCTTCACCCAAAGGCAAATTGGTAAGCAGTCCAATGTCTTTAACACAGGTATAATGTGGTTCTTTTGAGTTCTTCCTGACAGATTTGACTGGTGAGTGCTGAACTATTGAAGTTTCTAGGAAAGATACAAAAACAGCCACATACACAGTATGTCACAGGGATCAAGTTATTAATATGCATTATTTAAGGGTGAATTTGGTGAATCAACCAAAATTGGTACATCAGCCAAAGCTAATGAAAGGTGCTATTCGTTATTGCCTCAATCCATAAAACTAAGGTGGTTCGACCCACCTCTCTGAACCTGTAACTCTGGACCTAGTTTCAGTTTATTACTGCCCATTATCTAGCCATTATCAACTATAGAGCCTGACTTAGGGCTAGCCATTACTGGGGAAGGAGGGTTCGTTATGTCTCAGAGATCCCTCCTTCTGGCCCTACTAGTTCCACTCCAAGGCCAGATGGCGTGAGTAGTCAGGGCCCTGGTCCCAGGCTGCTGTCGCTAAATGCCAGGTCTGTGGTTCACAAGGCTCCCCTCGTCCGGGACCTAATTTTAGACGAGGGGGCTGACCTGGCAT